CCCCCCCCACCCATATTACATTTATTACATTCATATTACATTTATATATTACATTTATGACATATTATTGGCTTTTCATCAATTCACAAACATAAGGAAGGCCTGCCTTACTTACCTCAGATCATTTCTGGTTGAAAATGCTTGTCAAACTGTTAAAAATATATCATCAGTAAGTGTTTAAAAAACATGCTTTATTCTAATGCTCTTGGGTTCCTTCTCTGGAATCTGGGTTCACTGAAGGAGGACCTGTTGCACAATTGGTTTTGATAAGTGTGATGTCAGCAGTGGGGTTCTTTAAAAGAGAAAGTCCCACCAAAGTATACACAAAGTCAATTTCTTGAAGAAATGTCTGCAGCTTTACTGTTCATATGCTTATGCATTAATTGCACCATGAGGAAGTTCACCACATCAGCCTTTGTTTTTCTGATCTGCATGATGCTGCTGTCCACAACAGAAGGTAAGCAGGGTCACTTTGTGAACATGATTGACAATATCCATTGTTTTTGACAGTATTTTAATGCATTTATTATTATTTAAAGGTTTAAAAAATGCTAGTATGTGTTGAAAAAGTTTTGTAAGAGCTTACAAAGAGGCTAATATTCTTATTTCTCTCTCGTTTCATTTAGTCATTGCTGCCAGACTGCCGGCCCAACAGCTACGCTGCCAGTGTGTTAAAACGTATTCGGGAAAACCAATTAACCCTAAACTAATACAGAAAGTACAAATGATTCCTGCTGGAGCACAATGCAAAAACGTGGAGATCATGTGAGTGTGACATAAACCAAAGATCAATGCAATGCAGACGTCTGAATGCATGGTGGATTCAAATTAAAAGCATGTGATTTTGATGACCAGAAAGTGCTCAACATTATTTCTTTGTCTCACACAGTGCCACTCTGAAAAATGGACAGACATGCCTCAATCCCAGAGATGAATGGGTGAAAAATATCATCGAAACATGATTCCCCATCTGTGTTTGCATGCAGAAGTGTATGAGTTTTCTTGCTTTATTTGGTAGCACACATTATTCTTCTGCATATTTCTGCAGAGCTGTGAAATGCAACAGTTAAATGCAAACATTGTATCATCCCCATTGCAAACTGTTGCAGATGACTTGCTCATTAGCGAAACACATTCTGACGAAGCAAATTTAAAATGTGCATAACAGAAAATGTTGTATTGTCATTTTAGCTGAAAGCAACACTGCTGACTAACACTTTGCATGAATAAAGAAACTTTTGCAATGTAGAAAATACATTAAAAAAATAAAGTCTTTTGTTGTTGTATTTCAACGATCTTCAGAAAAAGTTATTTTTCCACTTCACTCAACATGATACGACCTGTTTTATTTTTCTAAATATTTTAAATTATTTTATATTAGATTTAAACATTTGCAGCATGACTGAAAATCAAGGCACTGATGTGTTTTATTTTCTAGCTATAATAAACCTAAGAAAATTGCATTAAAAAGTAATAAATTCCACAGAAGGAAGGTCATATGGTTTAGTAACATGCAAATGATCACACTATTTATTTTGTGGCAAACTATTGCTTAAACATGTTTAAAAAAATGTCTTTGTAAAATTATTTGCTCTCTGGGAAAACGTCCTAATGGTGATTTCATAATACATAATAAATGATGCAAGATGCTCTTTTACTTCCACTGATCTTCTCTTTGAAGTGCATAATGGTATATAAATGCTTAATGTACCTTTGCACCAGAAGTTTCCACATCAAATGCTTTTCTCTTGCATGGAAGTCATAGCAGTGTACTGTATGAGTGATAAATGCACCTGTGCTATAACTTGTCATGAGGTTTTTTGATGAACTCACTTTCCTTCACGCATTTGCCTCTAAACTGACGCTGACCTCTTTCTTCATTTTCTGGCAGATTTATCTTTTCTGATAAGATGATTCACTCAGCATGTGTGCTTCTCTCATCATGTGCTGTAGTAAGACTGCTGCTCTGTTCAGTCTCACAACGTGCAGCAGAATGAATTATTAGACCATTATAGGAATTTTTTCCACAGATTAAGAACTACTTGAAACATACTGTATATAGCACAGTTTAGTAACTGTTGAGTAGTGACCCAAAAATTAACCAAATAATAAAATGCAACTACTATTTAATTGAGCGTATAGTATAGGACAACAAAATAAATTGGGATATTATAATAGAAGTTTTAAAAGGGAGGGAAATGCTTCCTTTTGTTGTTGGCATCTGTACAGTCAACCGTATTTTGTTGCAAATTCTTCTGTCACTTCTATAAAATATCGCTAAACAAGGTGCAATGCTGGTGAAATAATTTTCACTCAGAAATTGCTATTAATTTTCACAAATAATTACAAAGGAACAGCAAGTAACAGAAGCTGGTGGAAACACAAAATACACACGGCAACATTTGATACTGATCCTCCCCTTGAGGGACTCATTATTCTGTTACTATTCATCAAATTCTTGTGAAACTTCTGTTTATGTCCCAGTTGTTTAACTTTTTATGTTAATACAAATATTTGCACATGTTAAGACATTTGCTGTAGATAAAAGCAGCTGAATGTGAGACGCTCTTTCTTTTTTTTGCTCAGTATCAGTATATGATAGATAGATAGATAGATAGATAGATAGATAGATAGATAGATAGATAGATAGATGTTCCAGTCCTGATTGAGGTCAGTGAATGTCACACTATCAGCAGTACAACAGGCTGTGCAAACAATTCATACACACACACATCCGAAGTTTATTGCTCTTTTATAGCTCTACAGACTTAAAAGACTTCAATTATTAAAAGACTAGATAGATAGATAGATAGATAGATAGATAGATAGATGTTCCAGTCCTGATTGAGGTCAGTGAATGTCACACTATCAGCAGTACAACAGGCTGTGCAAACAATTCATACACACACACGTCCAAAGTTTATTGCTCTTTTATAGCTCTACAGACTTAAAAGACTTCAATTATTAAAAGACTATTCAATTACTGTGCCTCAGAAGTTTAAAATTCTGAAGAAGAGATCACAAATAGGTCAGCTGTGAATGGTTTTCGAATTAATGTGCAGCCCAGACCATTTGATTTGGGAAGAGTTGGATGATAAGTGTTTGAGATCATGCGTTTTAAACCATATGAGTTTAAACTTCTGATATACGGTTTTCTGAGCGCACACGGACAGAAAGCGGCTGTCACAGCATGTGAGTACTAAACTAAGTTCTCATTCACACACAAGTTTACGTTAAAAACACACGAGTTACAAAAACAGTCGGTTATGTCTGTGAAGGTAAACAGCTGGGAAATAAATGTTTGAGATCGCAAATCTTAGCCCAGTTTGAGACATTGTTGAGATCTCTCCTTAAAACTCAGGTGACACAACTGTGAAACAACTGGGGTGTCGAATGTAAATCACAATATGAATATTAAAATAATATTTAATCAGTATATGATTAATCACTTTGATGAACTGTTTCTGTTGCTCAATTGTAAAGGCTAATATTAATTATACAAATGGCAAGTGTTAATATAAATATCAAGCTATTAACCAGGTTGATTAACATTTATATTAACATTTCATATGTACATCATTATTTAGATTCAATATTTATATAAATCCAATATGCATATAATATATTATAATTTTGCATTTTATTAAAACTATTATTTGATTAATGTTACATTTAATATTTGGGCTATTAAAGAAATTTTCCAACTGTGGTAAGCAGTCAAATGAAAATCATGCACTTGACGTATTTGTTTTTTTGGTTAAAACAGTCTGGGACTCCAGTGGGATTTTGACCGTGGTAACCAGGCCGAACATGAGATGCATCCATATGACACACGGCTGATGAACATGTGAACAGATCCAAACCACATATTTACACACAAGCCTTCACACACACACGCACACAGAATGATTAGGGAAGTGAAATAAAATCACTACTTTGTAGATCACGAGGCCTTTAAAATCATAATATATAAGGTTGTGCAGCAGCCCAAATAACAGCATCTGATCTTCAGAGTTTCTACACAGAAATCGACTGCAGAAGCTTCAACAATCATGAACGCTTTCCTGATGTTAACCGTTATTGGAGTCAGCATCGTTCTGTCTGATGGTAAGCTTCATCTTCACTATATGTTTATTATATTTAGCTTAAATGACTAATTAGCTGGTTTGTTGATGGTTTACCAGGTCGAAACCAGTTCCACTGGTCATCAGCCAGCGGACGAAATATTAAAAAAAAAAAGTTAAACAAAGTACCTATATTTAAAGCAACTGTATGTAGTTAAGTGAGTGGAATTCACTGTTGTAAATATATCACTGTTGATTATAGTGAATAGCTGTACACGTGCATTTGTTGCTGACGTAAAGCAATCCGCCATTTTCGCAGAATTTCGTACCCGCTCAAAAGGAGCGTGGTTAGTGATGGGAGAAATTACAATTTTCGAATCTTTGAATCAATTAAATTATTTGCTTCGCAAAATGATTCACTGTTTTGAAGCGCTCGAAACGCCACACGTTAGTGATGCTTGTTGGTCAGGCCGGTTTAAATGCAACAAAATCTCAGCTCGAATATGCATAAAAACTCTTTTTACAAACCAATTGCAAATGTTTTGTTGAAAGTCTAATCTATTAAATGCAATTAGCAATTCATAAAAATACCATTAAATACGAAATATCTGTATAATATGTGTTCTTTTATTAATTCACAGGGCTTGCTTTGTTTGTTTTTATGGAAGACCTGGCTAAACAGGCCAGGAAACTAACTACTACTAGCCTACTATCCTTCTTTTAAATGTCATTAAAATGTCTACAAATGTATCAAATTGATCCGAGCCTAGATCAACCTAGATCAAGTAAAAATCACAGACACTACAGTTCAAGGGTCTACTAACGACGAACCGTTGAAATTTAGAAACATTTCGAAACAATTACGCAGTAAAGAAGCCTCTGAAATCACGTGACTTTGGCAGTTTAGGTGTTCACGCCATATCGTTATTACCGTGATTACGAGATACCAACTTGTAAGAAGCTTTCACGTCCTCGTAGAACTCGTAATTACAACTTGTGAACTGGGAGTTTTCTGAGAGCTACAACTTGTACCACCTGACCACCTCAGATTCATTACATTCTTAAAAATAAAGGTGCTTCTAAAGGTTCTTCACAGCGATGCCATAGAGGAACCATTCAGTCAAAGGTTCTTTAAAGAACCATTTTTTATCATCTGAAGAACGTTCTTTCGCCACAAAGAACCTTTTGAGAAACAGAAAGGTTTTTTTATGGAACAATTTAGACAAAAAGGTTCTTCTATGGAATGGTGAAGCACCTTTATTTTTAAGAGTGTAGGCGCTATGTTTAGGCATTGATAGTGCAAGGGTGTGAACTGCTCCAAGTAGAACGTCACGTGTTGTCATCTCGAAATCACAGTAATTACGACATGGCATGAATGCAGCATTTGATACGCGCTCCGAACTCCTGATTCTTAAACAAATGATTTGCAAAGATTTCTGAGCTTCACAAAGCAGTGCTTCGAAAGCAACCATCACTACAGTGATTTTTGTAGAAACCATGACTCAGTTGTAGCGGCTATACACATTCAATTCAACAGTTTTGAAACTAACATTTCAAGGCAAAAACTTACATATGGAGCTTATTTAAATGCCAGTTTCATTCGAAATGTGGCCGGTGACTCTCATGTGAGTCCCTGTAGCCTATACATCATCTACATTTCAGCATCTTCTGTGGAACCGTGATGAACTTCCTTCACATTTCCTCAAAACTGTTGCACGCTACTATTTTACAAACCCCTGTTTGCACAAGACCATTAAATCACATGTCAGTTTACAGTTGTGTAACTGCTGGACACACTTTCCCAGCCTGCTAACGGTTGTGTTCCTCCCTCAGCCGTGCAGCCTCTGGGCGCGGGGTACAACAGCCGCTGCGTGTGTCTGAAACTGGAGTCGCGGATCATCCCGCAGGAGAACCTGCGGCGCGTGGAGATCCTGCCGAGAGGCCCGCACTGCAAGACTACTGAGGTTATGTAAGTAGGCTATTTCCTCACACCAGTCACGTGTCTTGCTGAAGTATTTCGATTGACCTCTCAGTTATGAGACCGGGTGTTGTAAATGTGAATGTCTGAGAATGTGTTTTTGCATTATAGGGCTATAATATGGCTTACTGAACTTAAGCATGAATTTCATTAGTTGATCATTAT